TCAAAGAACTGAATCATAGCAGTATTGATATTCTCACTAAAAGAATGACAGTGACAATGACTGGACCTGTGATTTCATTGATATTATTAATATAACTGCTTTCCAATGGGTCTTCCAGCTTCCAGAATCTGCTCTCTCCAGTCTATCCTGTACAGTCCTTCCAGATTAATCTTTCTGATCCCAAATGAAGAAATTCCTTTTATATTCAATGCGAGTTGACACTGGAGTTGCCCAGAGCATTGAGAAGTGATTTTCCCAGGGACCACAGCTAGTATGACTCCATGTCTGACTCCCTGTCAGAAACCAAAAGACATAATGAGGTTGGTATTAAGTGGAAGGATGAGTCACAAGTTTTCCTTAGGGAGGCAAATAAATGAGTTATTAGAGTTGGTTTTATTATATGTCCAAAGGCAAAAAGGAACACAATTTCACAGAATACTTAGTCATCTTGCATATGCTTATGATGAGAATAAACAAAAAGATCAATATGAAGAGAATTACAACTTATGTAATCTAAATAGAGCTTAAGTATGTAATTATGAGTTACAGAAAATGAAGAAGTAGAGAAATTCTAAAAGGGCTTAGTAAGACCCTCCAAATTAAGTCAACATATACTTTGATACTTGGTCATTTCAATGGAAATGTGGGCACAGTGTTGATGGATAAAAGAGACGTTGGAAAATAGGGTTGAAAACCAAGAAATGAGAGGCCAAAGGCCTGTAGACTTCAAAGCAGCCACGAACTTAGATATCATTAATGTTTTCTTCAAGAAGAAGGGCAGGCCCTTGAGGCATCCATATAAGTTTACAAAAATGAAACTGACCAAATCTTAATGGACAGAAAATAACTTATTAAAAATATAGGAGTACTTTCTGAATTATCTGTCTCTAACTCATACCGTCAACATATTAAGAGTTGAGATCAAAGTCAACAGCAAATTTAAAAAAAGAATAAAAATGAGAAGATGTGGCATATAATCAAAACATTTCAAACCTGGCCTATTTAAGCAAGCTGTTGTTGCTGAAAAAACATGGGAAATGGCTGAAGGAACAGACATCCGTGTGGATTATTACCATTTTTTACAGAAATTTAACTGAAGTAAAGCAGTGGGTACAACGAGAATACCAAGAAAACCTAGACACCATCTCAGCCAACAAACACTTCATCTCATTGCCAAGAAGATAGATATGGCAGCCAAGTGCAACACCAACTTAGACTATAAACTTATTTGTAAAATTTTACAAAGATGAACAGTGGAAAATTATGAAAAGTGTCACCTCACAAAACAGCCAGAGACAGCAAAGGGGGAAAGTGAGCGTACAGAAAGCTTAATGTAAGACACGATTAAGCCAGATCCTCTTGAGAGCATTTAAGAATAAAAGTAAAAGGAAGCCATAAAATTCAAAAGGCAAAAAATTGAAAAGATCTGTCACTATTTCTATAACAAATCCTTTTATCCCGCACTGACAGTAGAGCTAGCACACCACATTTGGACTCTGTCATTATGGCCCCTGATATGCTGTGTGGAGAAGAAGAACTCACAATAAACAAGACAAAGATAGAAAGAGCAGCTGGACCAGATCATGTATAGAGATCTCTTTTGGAAGCAATATAATTGGGGTGGGGGTGGGGTAGCGCTTAGGGAAACAATTTTAAACTTCTCTGAAAGAAAGGAAGATAGGAAAAGATGAAAAAAACTTTTTTTTAAAAAAGGGATTGAGAGAATAATATCAAGAACTTTGACTCATAACTTACTTTCTGATCTTTAAGAAATTTTGGAGGGAATTTACATACAAATTGAGGTCACTCTTGGTGTAAATATGAGAAGAAAAGAGGGAGGCTTTCTCAAGTAGTATTCTGCACTGGAGCAGACAAACATCTTTATAGTCACGTAATTGACTGAAAGGTACACTTTGTAAGTAATCCCAGTATGCTTACTGTTTGACTGTTAGGTGTTTGATTCAGTAGGACAAAATGCTCCCTTAAAGCCTCTCCTCCAAGAAAATATCTACTGGGCTTATGTTAATGTTATCCAGCTTTCCTTTGGTACACCAATTATTTTAATTTTGATGTTCCTCTGACTGTGAATATCAAGTGAAATATAGAAGAGGGAAACATATTCAACCCAAATGAAAGAGATTTCCTGTAGATTGTAAAAATCTCCAGATACTTTTTTGTAGGTGATGTGGTAATTTCACTAATCCCTAGAACACTGCAGAGCCTCCTAAATGAGATCCACAATCACTCAAAAGAGTTTATTTAAACATTCTTCTAGTTTTTTTCGCCCTGGAAAAATCATATAGATAAAGAACACCTATGCCTAAATAATGCTGTGCATTTTGATGGAGATCTCTTAGATCTGTCTGATTAGGATGGACACCAGAGATGGACAATGAACTGGGCCCAAAACTGAATAGAAGGATGAGTTAGATTACAATTGGGGAATTATGAAGTGCTTTTCCTTAGAAGAAAAATCTCACCTTTTTAATACCAATACTCTTCTAATAATGCTATTTGACTTCAGAATATGTAATATCACAAAACCGTAACTCATATGGCCCTCACTGATGTGTTCAGTTTTTTCTAGTCAGCCAGAGGACACACTTAGTTCAAAGACATTTATAATGAAATAGAATGGCAGGAAAAGTTCCAATAGAATCTGGGCACATTCTTTTACAAATTCACATGCTGTCAGTGGGGGAGATGGGCATGATAGGAATCATGTAAGAGTGGCAGACATATAAGTGAATGTGTGTATTGTATATGTTATCAGTGATGAATTACATACACAAAATGATGTAAAAGTATCATCAAAGAGATGACCTGAAAAGGCAATGAGGCAGTCATGTAGCAGAAGGGAAGGATAAAAGACCTCCCATGTGCTGTTTCAAGAGAAAGGTCCTCAGCTTATTGGGCAGACCCTCTGTGGAGGATTCATGGAAGCATATGTTCAAGAGTCATATAAGAAATGAAGGTGTTCTTACTAGCTGTGTGACCCTGGGCAAGTTGCTTAGCCCCAATTGCCAAAAAAAAAAAAAAAAAGAAATGAAGGTGTGGATGGTTTGTAGTGTATGCTATTGCAGGAGAACCTCCATCGATGAAGTCATAGATCAAATGATACATACTGCATGCCCAGCACCATGCTAGTTACCTTCAGGTGATTGGTTTTGTGAAATAGCCTCTTATCAGGTCACGTGTTTTCAGTTCAATTTGACATATATTTATTAAGCAGCTGTGCTAGGAAGATAAAGATGAAAAATGACGCTGGCCCAACCCCTACATACCTTACAGTCTAGTGGAGGGGATGAGTGAAGTACATAAAAAACTATCACAGAAGTTGGAAAATGATTAATTGCATCAGAGAAGTGGGAATGACCTCGAATGGTTCAAGAAGGAAGAAATCACTTTTGCTAGGGAAATCAGGAAAGTTTCGAGAAAGAAATGGCATTGTATTTGGGCCTGTAAAGAAGGGAAGACTATCAAAAAGTGGACATGGAGAGGAGAGAATTTTTTATGCATGAAGGACAGCCTGCAAAGAGGCCATGAGGTGGGAGAGGGCAGAATGTGAATAAGAAAGAGTGAACAACCCATGGTATGGTAGGGAGGCAGTTTGATACAGTGGAAGGAACACTATCCCTGAAGTTAGAAGCCCTGGGTTCCAGTCCTGATTCTGATGCTTAATGCTAGTGTGATCTTGGGCAAGTCACTTAAGTTTCATCATTTGTAAAATGAGGGGGCTGGCCTAGATGGTTTTGGAACCATTTCTAGATTTATGAAATAAGAATGGAGTAAAATTCTTCAGGGCCTTAAAATATTAGGATTAGAGAGCTTTTTACTTTATTCTACTGGTATTGGTAAGTCAGTACAGGGTTTTGATGTTTTCACACTTTATCCTCAAAAGCCTCTCAACAGTGACTCTTCGCCAACAGGATAAAATATAAACTCCTAGTCACGACATTTCAGGCAGCTAGGTGGCACAGTGGATAGAACACTGGACCTGGAGTCAGGAGGACCTGAGTTCAAATCCAGCCTCAGACACTTAACAGCTGTGTGATCCTGGGCATGTCACTTAATCCCATTTGCTTCGGTTTCCTCATCTGTAAAATGAAAAAGAAATGGCAAACCACTCCAGTATCTCTGCCAAGAAAACCTCAAATGGGGTCACAAAGAGTCAGGCATGACTGAACAACAACAGTTATGACATTTAAAGCCCTCCACAATCTGGCCCTAATCTGCCTTTCCATCAACTTCACACTACTCCTGTTCACATAATCTAGACTCCAGCTGTACTAAGCAGTTAGCTGTGGTATATTGCAGTAGGGAAGTGAACAGAAGTCTGGATTTGGAGTCAGAAGCCCAAAGTGTGAATCCCCACTCCATCATTTACTATTTAAGTTGCTTAACCTTCAGTGTTTTTGTTTATAAGATAGATACAGTAATATTCCTCAGAGGGATATATATAGGGTTACGATGAGAATGATGGAACATGAAGTAGTCCATAACCATTTTGTAAACTTTAAGTGCTATATCTGTGGGTGTTGTTACCTCCTTTGCTATTACCCATCTCACTTTGTTTCTCTTACACCTCCATTCATTTGCACAGGGCATCCCTCTTGCACAGGTGCATTCCCTGCACATCCCTACCTGTTGAAGTCCAACATTGAGGCGAGGTGTCACCCCTTCCGTGGAGTCTTCCTTGATTCTCATCCACCCTCACTCCCAAATAAAAGTGATCTCTCCTCAGATTTTCTTTCACTGCTTTTCTTGGATGTCTTCTTTGTTTCCCTTACATTCTTTCTTTGTACGTAGCCTCACTTTAAGTTCAGCCCTTCTAACAATAGAGGCCATGATGATACAGAGGATTTCACAACTCTGTGATTGTCTGGGTCATCGATCAGTGACATATATAGCTGTTAGGATATTGTTGGAGGAGAAGCCGGAAGGATATGGAAAACAACTTCATGTGCAGCTAACCTGTTTTCTCTCATCTTAATTTCCAGTGAATTCTTCATTCCTGGACTGGTCGATACACACATCCATGCACCACAATATGTATTTGCTGGAAGTAATGTGGATCTCCCCCTCCTGGAGTGGTTAACAAAGTACACATTTCCAACAGAAAACAAATTCAGCAATAAAGATGTTGCTGAAGAAGTCTATACCCGAGTGGTTGTGAGTATCATATATGCATGCTATCGTCTCTCATATTTAATCAAAAGGAATCAGTGTTTCGGGACTGAAAAGGTTCTTAGAAATTATTTAGCCTAATTACCCTTATTTTACACATGAGGAAACTGATGCTCAGAGAAGGCAAATGACTTTCTAAGGTGACTCAGCCAGTAGGTGAGAGAACCAGGGACAAGAGCCCAGGATTGCTGACTCAGTCTAATACTCTTTCTGCTATACCATACTGGCGTCCATGGGTTTATGTTACTTAAAGTAGGCCTTATGGATGCATGTCTTTGATTTTTGCCTCTGGCTTTTCTGCAGCTCCATAATATTTCTCTGAATGTTTTGTGGAAAAGAAAAAACTAGAGAACAAGGGCATGATGATGTTAGGGAATAGCTAGTTGGGTGGTAACATATGAAAGAGAACAATATGAAGAAGGGTGGAAAGGTAGCTTGGAGCCAGATTGTGGAGAGATTTAAATGCCAAGTCAAAGAGTTTCTGTTTTATCCCATAGGTGGGAGTCCCATCATATTTTTTGAGCAGGAATGAGTACAGGCCTCTCTGTGTTGAAATTTTGTTATTGTTGTTATTGTTTAGTCATTTTCAGTAGTATTTGACTCTTTGTGGCCCCATTTGGGGTTTTCTTGGCAAAGATACTGGAGTGGTTTGCTATTTCCTTTTCCAGCTCATTTTACAGATGAGGAAACTGAGGCAAACAGGGTTAAGTGACTTGCCCAGGATCACACAGCTAGTAAGTGTCTGAGGCTGAATTTGAACTTGGGAAGATGATTCTTTCTGATTCCAAGCCCAGTGTTCTGTCTACTGCACCACCTAGCTGCCTTGTGTTAAGGTTAGAGAGGGATAAGAGAGAGAAGAGCTTGGGAGAGGGGGAGGGACGAAGAAGGATATTAGAAAACTTTTCTCCCTTATGACAGTGATTCTGCAGCGATGAAAGAAACATTTTATTCTGAGGTCATTCATTATATAGAGGTACTTAGATACAGTGCAGACTTTCTGTTGCCCTGTCAATTTAAGCCTTGAAAAGAGTAAATGCAGGTTCTGATTTTTTGATATAGTAGTGTATACACATGCACATCTTAATTATATATTGGCTTTTCATTTAACACATGTTATTTAGGTGTATTTGACACGTCTTTGAGACACCAGAGAAACAAAACTGAGGAGGGATAAAACCATGCTTTTAGGATGCTTGTGCCCTGGTTAGCAGGAAACTGTGACAAACACCCATATTTCTTTATTAAATTACTCTGCGGAAGCTGTTGTGCTCTTAGGCAAATTGTTTAAAAGCTCCCTTTTGGAGATCTGAAGTGGCCCATTGGCCGAGTGCCGTTTCTTGTACGCTTTCCGATTGGCTTCTGAATTTCTGCTCTCCCGCTTGTGGGTGAAGCTGGAGCCCTTTTGGAAGGGATTGATTGAAGCCAGAGAGTTGTCAGTGCGTCTGGATCTGTTGGCAGTTTGTCCCCATGAGGCAAAAAAGAAATATTGAAATAACAAGGGAGTTGAGAGAACTTGACCTATGCCGGAAGTCCTGAGATTTCATCATTAGCTAGATGGGTCTTTGGCTAGGAGAGGAGACAGGACAAACGCATAATTGTTATAGATTGAAGTGATTGGAAAGTCCTCAGTGATCATCTGGTCTGACTCTTTCAGTTTACAGGTGAGGAAACTGAGGCCCACAGTGGTTAAATGAGAGATTTAGAACAGGAAGGGACCTCTGACTCCTCATGTCTAAAATAAGAGTAATTAGGCTAAATGATTTCTAAGAACTTTTCCAGGCCCACAACGCCTCCCAGGGTTAGGGTTCTTAACCTGGGACCAACAGATCACAGTCTGTAGACAGATTTCAGGAGGTCCATGAACTTTAATGAGGAAACCAATAATTATCATTATTATAGATATTATATATAATTATAAATAATATCATTCTTTTCACTGAGCTCTTAGCATTTCCTTTAATTATTTAAAACATTATTCTGGGAAGGGGCATTAGGCTTCACCAGGGTTCATGACATATGAAAACTTAAGAACTCCTGATTTCATTCAACCTATTTATTTTACAGATGAGGAAACTGAGGCCCAGGGAGGTTGAGCAACTTGCCCAGGTTCACACAAGCAGTAATTGCCTGAGGTGGGATTTGAACCCAGGTCCTCTGGAATCCATGGCCTTCCCACTGTTCCACAGTTACCTCCCTTTTGTTCCAAAATCATATAGCAAGTTAATGGCAAAGCTGGAACTAGAACCTAGAGCAGTTCTTTTGCATGCGACTGATCAGTTATGACCAAAGATAATATTCCCTCAGGTAAATCATTTGCTTACTGGATACATTTGTGTGTCACATGGAAATGTTAAAATTCCAATTTTTCATACCTAAATTCAGTATAGTTTGGAAATTATTGGGGGGCAGCTAGGTGGCACAGTAGATAAAGCTCCGGCCTTGGAGTCAGGAAGACCTGAGTTCAAATGTGGCCTCAGACACTTAACACCTGCTAGCTGTGTGACCTTGGGCAAATCACTTAACCTCGATTACCTCACCAAAAAGAAAAAAAAGAGGAAATTATTACCCAGTCCTAAGTATGAGATTCATTAAAAAGATATCTTATAAAATCAGAACTATTGAACTGTGTAGGTGAAGGAAATAAAATTGAGGAGTTAGTGGTACATAGTTTCTTTACATTTGATATTTGCAGAATATACTCATATTTCTATTATCCCCCTGGTTAAATTCTGCCTCCTAAGAAATCAGCTCCAAATAAAAAGGATTGAAGATTAAAGGATTAGAATTTAAGCTTTCAGACCTTTCTGTCACATAGCTTTTTGGGGGCACGAGCGAACCTTGGTTTTTCTGGTCTATTTTTAGAGGAGAACTTTAAAGAATGGTACAACCACAGCATGCTACTTTGGAACAATCCACACTGATGCATCCCTCCGCCTTGCTGATATTACAGGTGAGCAGTTCAGAGTCTGATAAGATATGTCATGCAGAAGCTGCCAGCTCAGACCAGTTTTTGACATCTTCTCCCTGGCTGGAATTTGTACATGAAAAGAATTCTAAATGTAAATTGCAAGAACCTCAGAGTTAAATTTCTTTTAGTTCATGAAATTGAAGGTCCTTATATTCTAATGGCCTATGATTTTTTTTAAACTTAATTTATGTTTGTGGCTTTTAAGGCTAATTACGTACCACTGAATTCAAATTTTCTCAGGTGAGAATTTTTAGAAGCATTTTTAATTGCCTAAAAAAATGTTTCTAGCAGCCCCACCTTCATCAATAAACATTTATTGAATATCTGCAAAGAGACTATGTTTGGGGTTGGAATACCCTTCCCCTAAGACATCCTTCTTCCTCTTGGAGGTTTTTATGACTAATTGGAAGGACTCTTCATAAAAAGGTGAGTAACAGCAGAAAGTAATACAATACTGAATGCTAACTACGTTCAAATCAATTTGACAAACATTTCCCCCCCCCAAAAAAAAACCAGGGGGGAATACTCTCCCTTCTACCCACTCAATCAATACCTGGTGAGAGTAGGCTCATACTTGAAGTACAAAAGTTCTGAAACACAAATAGAGGAAAGTACGTGTGGCAAAAGAGCATCTCCTGGCCCTGGGAGTTCTTTTCTCTCTTTACAGAGCTCCCAGCAAATTCACTTCTGGGTGTGATGTATCTAGTTGACTGAACTGGATCAGGCATGTCATTCCTCAGAGCTGTCTCCTTACCACATCCAGTATTGTTTCCACCCTGTGCTCCAGGACTCTGGTTATCAGTGAATCTCTCAGTCTCACTGATTGCCTTGGCATTCCCCATATCAATATTTACCTATTATGAGGAAAGAAGGAACACAACAGGAATAAAGAAGCTACATATTCACAGAAACGGCTTCTTTCTGTACCTGGAGGCTTGCTGAAGATGTTCCTAATCAAGGAGAACAATACTGTACATACCTCATTTCTAGCTTAGCAGACAGTTTAAATGCTTTTCAGCACCATGCAGTAAACTATCAGGAAATGGTCAGAAGATATCTGTGCAAGTTATAAAGTAGGGGGAAGGGTTGCTCTTTTACACATACCTGGAAGCAGGCTCACTAGTCTACCATGTGGATTGGCACTATATAGAGCATTCCTGGATTTGAAGATCAACATTCTCAAACTCTTTGATCCCAGGACTCCTTTATACTCTTAAAAATTGTTGAGGACCTCCCAAAGAGCTTTTGTTTATGTCTGTTGACAATTACCATACTAGAAATTCAAACATCTTAATATTATGAAAATAGCTTTGCTCTCAGACCTCCACAAAGGCACAGTAACCCTGGGTGGCCCTAGATTATGAAGAAGTTTAAATGCCAGAGGAGTTTAGATTATGAATTCTGTTTTGGATGTGGTGAATTTGAGATGCCTATAAAACATCCAGTTCAGATTGTCCAGTGAACAATTGGTGATGCAGAATAGGGGCTAGGAAAGGAGATTAGACTTGGAATGGTAGATCTGAATGTTATCTGCATAAAGATGTTAATTGAACCTAAGAGAGCTAAGTGAGAGTATAAAGAGAAAGAAGAAGGCAGCCCAGGACAAAGCCTTGGGGAGCAACCATGGTAAAGTGGGCTTGCTATGGATGAAGATCCAGCAGAGGCAACTGGGAGGGAGTGGTCAGACAGATGGGGGAGAAGCAAGACAGTGCAGTGTCATGAAAACCAAGAGAAGTATCCAGAAGGAAAGGATGGTCAACTGTGTCAAATCCTGTAGAGAAATTGAGAAAGATGAGGATTGGAAAAAGGCCATTAGATTTGGTAATTGAAAAATCATGGGCACACTTGTATCGATTATGGTATGTAATTTTTTACTTTTGTCTTTGTATTCCCAGTAGACAGTATGTTTAATGTAGTGAATAGAGCCCCAAATTTGTTGTGAACACAATCTGGGTTTAAAAACTGCTTCAAATGTTTAGTAGCAGTATGACCTAGGCCAGTCACTCAAGCACTCCAATCCCTAGTTTCCTTATCTCGAATAGTAATAGTATAGACTGTCCCAAAAGTCTTAAGGTTGTTGATAAGTCTCTAAGTTATTTAAGCTTAAAACTTCTCTAAGACTTTTGGTACAGTATATATGCTGTACAGGGTTGGCATTCCAGGCAGGGGCAATGTTGTGGGTAAAAGTGCATGGTATGTACAGGATGACACTTTGAATTGTTAAGGGTATGAGAGAAGTGAGAAAGAATATTGGAGAGGTAGGTTGGGGCCATATTGCAGATGGCATAAAATGTCAGGCTGAATAATTCATCATTTACTAGGGAGCCAGTGAAGGGTTTTGAGCAGAGGAGCAATATTTTAAGAGATATAATATATGTATATAATATAATTATGTATAAATACAATAAGAAATATAATCCAGCAGCAATTTGTAAAAAAGGGTGGGAGACAGAAGGTAGAGAGGGATCCATGACTCCCTATTGCCTCTAGGATAAAATATGAAATCCTCAAACTGGCCTTTAAAGGCCCTTACAGTCCGGCCTTCATGTCCCTTCACTGTCTTATTTCACATTATTGCCCTTCCAGCACTCACTGTTCTTTCAAACTGGCCTACTAGATGTTCCTTATATAGGGCAGTCCATACTTCTATGCCTTTGCCTAAGTTGGTCTCACATGCATGTCTGAAATACATTCCCTCTGCACTTTATAGAATCTTTAGTTTCCTTCAAAGCATTTTCCTCATAGTATTCCTATAAGAAGTGGTCCTCATGGATCACCTCCTTTAGAAATATTTTCTTGATCGTTCTTCCCTCTTTCCCTCCTCCCCCAGATATTAGCACTTTCTCTCTTCTGCAATGATTTTCTTTCCAGGATGTAGAAGCTAGAATCTAGAAAATAGATTTTTCAAACAAAACAACTTACTCACATACCCTTGATATGTCTCTCTTGCCCACCCCAATTTTATCTTTGTATCCATCATACCTTATACATAGTAAGCATTTAATGTTTCTTGAACTGAACTGACTCCAGTATAATAACTCATTTTATGGCGGACCTGAATATTTACAAAGTAATTTTCTTACAACACCCCATAAAAGTAGGAAGATTTTTACAAATAGCAAAGAGGGATACTTTTGAAAAAAAAATATCTCTGTGTCTGTTTAGCTTTCTAGCTGAAATTAAAATTCCATCAAAATCAGGATTATAGCCTGAGTTATTTAAGTTTCCTCTTTAGTTCCATCCATGGGACTGAGTCTGCATTAACGATTGACTGGCAACCTATATAAAAAGAAAGAAAAGGAAAAGGGAAAAAAGAAGTGAAAAAATAGATGTAATAGTAAATTGAGAGGGGAAGAAAAGGAGGAAAAAGAGGTGCCATGGTGGGAAATGATAGGGTATAATCAGTGCTCCTTATAGATGCCCTTCAGGGTCATAGGCTGCTTAGCACTTCTGGATAATTTAATTGGGACATTAAAAATAGCTTAATTTATTTACTGTTTTATAGTTCACACAGCACTTTTAAATGCATTATCTCATTTGTACCTTACATCCCCCTTATGGGCTATGCAGTTCAGGTATAATTTTCATTTTACAGGTGAGGAAACTGAGGCCCATAGAGGTTAAATAACTTGCCTGAGGTCACACAACAATAAGGAGTAAATTTTAACTCATGTCTTCTCACTCCTAAACCTCAAATTGTTGAACTAGTTAAGATTTGGGTTAAATACTTTTTTACAAACATAAAACCTGAATTGACTTTTTTCTTTGTTCACACTTTGCAGATAAATTTGGGCAGCGAGCATTTGTGGGCAAAGTTTGCATGGATATGAATGACACTGTTCCAGAGTACAAGGAAACCACTGAGGAGTCAGTTAAAGAGACGGAAAGGTAAAATGCTGGTGTTGTTTTGACATGGGGAACCTCTCAATATCTTTCCAGCTATCCATCCATCTATGTATCTGTTAGACACACGTGTGTGTGTTTATGCACATATACACATATATTCCTGCATATATGTGTTTATTTACATATATACATGCATTACTGTGTGTGTATCTATAGTCTATGCATTGTGTATGTGTAATATATATTACACATGTGTGTATAGATATATATATATATCTATACACACACACACACACACACATATATACACACACATAAAATGTATTGTAAGGCAGCTCAGTGGATAGAGCACTGGGCTTGGAAGTCAGGAAGACCTGAGTTCAAATTTGGCCTTGCGATGATTAAAAAGTTCCTGAGAGACCGAGTTTCTGGATAAATTAAGATCAGTTTATTGACTCCATCTAGAAATCAGTCAACAAAAAGAGGCTCAATGTCCCCTCAGTAGCTAGAGAGATCAAACCTCTTGAACCTTTGATATTTATAAAGTCTTTTGAAAAAGGAGTTCACTTGAGGGTAAAAATCAACTCTGATTGGTCAACAAGAGAATGAATATTATAATGAGAGGTGTCACCCAAATCTTGGCTGATAGACATCAATTTCTGTTTCACTTGTTAAGACAAAAGAGAGAATCAGCACTTCCCTAGACCTGCTGAGGAAACACATTGTGCAGGAATACACATACCCATTAGCCCCCACTTAGAATTTCTTTTGCTGTCTGTTAAGATCTTGGCCTGGGTAAATCTATAAGAGAGATTTCCCACACTTGTTGATTTTTGGATGAGAAAGTAGGAAAGGGGAAAAATCTTGGTCTTGATTCAATAATATGTTATTAAATAGTTATTAAAAAGAGAGAAAAAATAATTTCTCACACTTACTAGCTATGTGACCCTGGGCAAGTTGCTTAACCTCTGTTTACCTTAATCCACTGGAGAAGGAAATGGCTCAGCAATCTTTGCCAAGAAAACTCTAGGGACAGCATGTTCCATGGGGTCACAAAGAATCTGACAATACTGATACGACTGACCAAAACAATATGTATTTTAGTGGACTTTTTTTTAGGGACCTAAGAGGGTTGTCACTCACCATTCTGGGTTATTGAAGTCAGGGTTGGATAACAGCAATAAGGAGTCAATTAAGAGTAGCAAGTCTATGCGTAAGTAGCCCATTTATTCCGGGTGGTGGGGGCAAATTGCCAGGTGGTTGGCAATCTACCCTGAGCCTGACGTAAGAGTTTTCTGATACGCACTTTTTTAGGGTAGCGTTCATAAGCTAAATATTATTCAAAGTAATGATGTGTGAAACAAAGAAAAGAAAGATAGCTGTTCATAAAACACAGGTGGCTATATAAAAAGAATTGTATACTTGTTGGAGAACAATGTTTATTCTTAGCTACAAGAGATAGATAAGGGAGTTATTTTCTGAATGTAGTTGGTATCAGTAAATCAAAGAAATCTACCTGCCAGGCCAGAATCCTCCACCTTTAGCAGCTAAGTCTCTCAGTACAGATAAGAGGCAAGAATGAGACACTGAAGGACGCAAGCAGCCATAGCTCTGTCCTTCATCTCACTTAGATAAAATAGCTGAAGTCAGTGTGCCTTCATACCGAGCTGTTGCTGAAGAGGGGTTGGGGCGGGGGCGGGAAATCTGGGGAGAGGGAGGTCTTTGTATTACCCAAATATATCAGAGAAATTCATGGTGCAATACTAAGGGATTCTGGTAAGGGATATTAAGGCAAGGATGTCAAGGAGTTACTAGAAGGTGCCAACTCCAGGAAACTTGCTGAAGTCAGTCTCTGGGACTCATCTGGAGGGGGGAGTAACTTTGTCTGCTTCTCCCAAACACTGAACCAGCTCTGGCAATGCCTTCGTCAACCTCATTATCAATGTGTACAACCCTAGAAAGTATATTGCCAAGGTAATCAAACTTATCCGCAGCATTCAGAACTTCTCCATTTGCTGTAACCAGTGGTTCCAAGTGTGGGTGGTATGGTGCTGGCTGATGGAGTACCTGTGTTTTCTTTGTGTTAATTGGTAGGCCAAAATTAGCACAAGCGGCAGAGAAACGAACCATACTTTGTTGCATCTCAGCTTCAGAGGCTGAAAATCATGCACCAAAACTCTTTCCGCTTTGGTCTTGGCTTGTAGCCTTTTCAAGTTGAAGAATTTACCGTCAGCGCAGTAGCTGCCCTTGATACCATGTTCATCCTCATTGAAGGCTTTTGACGACATGGCTGAAAATATCATGCTAAAAAGCATGGGAGCAAGCACATGGCCTTGTTTCACTCCATTCGTAACTGGGAAAGCATGACAGCATCGTCCATTATCTAGAACCCGGGCAAGCGTGCCCCACAGCATTTACAGATATACTTTATGCGCACATAGTGCACAGAAACATGCACACAGTGGCTCAAACGGACCCTACTTAATGTAGTAGGGAAGTGGTCTTTTAAAACTGACCACTATGTATGCATTTCATAAATGCACTTAGCCCTTCAAGATCTTTGTGGGTGGATTACTCCATATGTTAAAGATCCCTCCCAGCTTTGTGCCCTCTTTGTGCAATTTGTTAAGCGTTTCTTTCATAGGTATACTAAAATGTTTGGAAGCCTGGGTCTTAGAAATAAGTCTATAAAACTGAAAAAAAAAACATAACTGAGTAATATTGCCACACTTTATAACAGATTTTGCATAATTTTCTGCTTTCTGATGACATTGGGGTACCCCATGGATTGCATAACAATCCCCCCAACATTTTCTTAATTCCAGTGTCCATAGTAGAGAAAGTAATATATAAATAAAAAAAAATAATATATATAAAAAATATAAAAAAAATATACCATGATTTCATTGACATAGGAATCTTCTGGATGAAGAAACTCCCTTTGCCTATTTCAGGTCATCATTTTATCCACAATTTATACTCTTAGAAGATTGCCTGGGGCATTGAGAAATTAATGACTTGTCCAGGGTCACACTGCCAATACAAATCAAAGGCAGGTCCTGAACCCTGGGTTTTTGTTGTTGTTGTGTTGCGTTTTGTTTTTTTTTATTTTTGTATTTTTTTTAACCTCCGAGGCCAGCACGCTATCTGCTAAATGAAGGCTGCCTCCCAAAAGAGCCCTCACCACTATACACTGATGATTTGACAAGGGTATCATTTTATTGTATTCATTCCCCAAAGGATATGGAAGAAAGTTCTTTTAACTTAAATCTCCCTTTAGGACTAAAGAGATTTGCATATTTTTTTTCAAAATACATAGAAGTAGTAACCCATTTCAAGAATTACTGTACACTGTAGGAGTCTAAAATTTGCCAGTTCTTCCCCAAAGTAATTCTTTTTCCAGTTATAGCAGGTAAAGCTGAGGATGGCCAGCTTCTAAATGCCCCTAGAAAAGAGAAACATTGTGGAAGCTATTCTTATCGCAATAATAATGATAGTTATTATAATAATAATAAATAGCATTTATATAGCACTTTAAGGTTTGCAAAGTGCTTTACAAATATGAACTCATTTAATCCTCACAACAATCCTAGGAGATAGGTACTATTATTTTCCTTTTCATACCTGAGGAAACTGAGGCAGATAAACTTGCCCAGGGTCATAGAGCAAGTAAGTTACTGAGGCCCCTTTTGAACTCAGGTCTTTCTGACTTTAGGTTCAGCACTTTCAACTCCCTTCTTGAGTTTCTATGATCAAAAAATTTTCATTGTCTACTGATGAACTTATCGGGACTTAAGGTTGGTCATGAATAACAAGGACTCAATGTATTTCTAGGTTTGTGAGCAAAACCTGTCTAGCTTGATAGGACATCCCAGAGCTTACGTGCTTTTGGAATAACCTTTGCAAACCAATGACCACCATACAACGATTTGGCATAAGTGGTAGGGCTTTTTCAGCTATTATGCATGTGAATTTCACATGTAGATTGTGACCCGAGGTCCTGCTATTGTTTAATACATTGATGTGGAATATATATTCCATGCTTGCAATACATAGATCATTCTTGAATTAAGTAAATACATTGTATACTTTTGTATAAATTTTATATTGACTCATCAGCCTACATGTTGTATCTTGCCCCTCTGTCCACCCCCATTTAAGCTCTTGAAAGCAGGAGGTTTTACCTTTTTTTAATCTCCATACTCTGCATGTATTAGGCACTTAATAAAAGCTTATGGAATTGAATAGAAGTGAATTAAATCCTGTGCATTGTATAAGGCATGTTTGGATATAGAGTTGTTTCCATTGTTTTCAGTTGTGTCTGACTCTTTGTGACCTCATTTGGGGTTTTCTTGGCAAAGATGCTGGAGCCATTTGCTTCTCCAGTTCATTTTACAGATGAGGAAACTGAAGCAACCAGGGTTAAGTGACTTGCCCAGTGCCATACAGCTAGTAAGTATTTGAAGCCAGATTTGAACTCAGGAAGATGAGTCTTCTTGACTTCAGGCCTAGCACTCTCTCTAGCCACTGAGCCACCTAGCAGCCCTTTGGAGGGAGATATGAAAGTAGTAGCCAGAGCTGGTGGCTTCAGTTTATACATTGCCGGCTTCCATTACCAACATCTTCATTTACTTTCATTCACCGCAACCTGCAGCTAAACCTGTCACCAGTGCCTTTAGTACAAACACGGGATTTCTTAGCCCCACCACCCTGCACCAATCTCTGCTTCCTCAATCCACCAATCTTCTCTACTCCAGCTTATGTCTCTGTGAAGAGATGCACTAGAAAATTGACTTGCAGCTGTCCACTTGCTATGAATTGAAGATGGAAAGCCCCCTGACTTCTAAGTCTCAACACATGACAATCTCTACGACCATATTATACGTGGAACGTCACGTCTTGCAATGTTCCAAAAATAGAGCTTCAAATACTAGAATGGATTTAGTCCTGTGGAAACACTCATGAGAAGCCCAAAGGAAGAAGGACTTTTCTGTGGATGTTAGAATATATAATTATGTTTTCACTTGATTTTATTCAGCATGCTTTTGGTTCCATACAGAAAAAGCGTAGTAATTACCACTTGTCTTTCTTTAATTATCAGTGATAAAATTTGTGTGAGGTTAGATGGCTTTTTGCATAAAAATTGGCATGTGGACCCATTACCATTTTAAAAGAAGGCTTACTTGTGAATTTTTGCATTTCCTAATTTGCTGTTTGTTGTTTTGTCTTAGGTTTGTTGAAGAAGTGCTAAAAAAGGAAGTAAGTAATGCCATAAAACAACATACTTATGATTATGTCTCTGATAATAAAGCTAACAACTTTTCTTTAAACATAATCACTTGAGTTCTAAGATTATGCAGCATTGTTCTGATTTTGGTTTTCATGAGTAGATTCTTTCTGTATAGCTTATTCTTAACTGATCATGTTTAGGTAAAAAACAAAAACAATTGATTAGATCAACGGTTTCACCCCAGAATATATTTACCGGCCTAAATTTGGAGGGTCACTGAGTTCAGGTGTCTTAGTGCCTTATAGTTAATTCAGTAATGTCCATACCTAGTCCTGTGTTAGAAACCGGTTTTAAAATCAAGGTTTCTAATTGAAAACTACAGAAAAAAGCAAGAAGCTATGTGACTCCAAAGTCATCCCTTTCATTTTGTAGTAATAAGCTTGGGTTTGTTTTCTTGGGCTGAGTCCTCATGTTTTTCATATCAATTGTCTTTTGGCTGTTTCCAGTATACTAGGGTGAAGCCCATAGTGACTCCACGTTTTGTCCTTTCCTGCTCTGAGACTTTGTTACATAAACTTGGTGACATAGCCAAGGACCACAAACTGCATATTCAGGTAGGTATTTACGGTCTCACCTATAACAATGGCTACCTGCTGTCTCTGGACTGCACATCCTTGGATTAGTCCTTGATCCCTTCAGGGCCCCATAGAGTCATGCTAGTTTACAAGTAGAAGACTAGTGATCATCTAGTTTAACTCCCTTGTCTCACAGGTGAGGAAACTGAGGTATTAACCAGGCGTCACTGCTTCATAAACCTTAAAGCACTGCATAAATGTGAATTCTCATTATTACCCCTCTTCCTACTAGTCTTTTCTTGGAATTGTTGATCTGTTAGGTGGGTTATTACCTTGAAATATACACCCACCACGATCTTATAGACAAAGACATTTTTCATAATCCACTAAGGCAGATCATAAGAGAGGTTGTTTAGCTATTGTCTTTGGAAGACTTAGATTGTTATTATATTTCTTTCTTAGCTGTATTTTATATGACACTTTTCCAGCATACTCAGTCTTTTTAGGAGAAAAGTCACTGCCATTTGAAAAGCTAAAAGGACCTATTTTTCACCTTACAAAAATGCATTTTAAAAATCTTTTTGTTCTAAGTGTCTTATTTTAACAGCAGTAACCAAAAACACCCTGCATCTTACTTTATCATTAAGTTGCTGCAATTTTGAGATAAAATGCTTTTAAAAGCTTACAGCTGTGGTAAAATTGGGAGCTTCCCCCCCCCCACCAATATCAAGCCTTAATTACACACTGTTCTAAAATTTTCTCCACTTAAGAGTAATTCAGTGATGCTACCAGAAGGGACAGGTAGGACAAAGGCAGTGTAAGGGCTCTTGACCACTTTTATGGTGGTAGTTTCTTTTAAAGTCTGGCCTTCCTGAGACCCATTAACTTTGGCTACCATTTATACTCGTCTCCTTTTTTATCTTTGTGCATTGAATGTTATCATTTTTGTGAGCTGTGTTACCTGAGTTGTCTCCTACACCCTACACAATTCTGTCCAGTTGATGAACTTCAAATATAAAATCATTGCTACGTCTATGCCTTGAGAAAGAAGGCTAACCACCAAAACAGCTGTGAAAGAGTGATTAGCACCGATCTGTCAAAATATAAATAGTTTGGTTCTTTTTCATCTTTTCCTAACCTTCTACCCCCTTTGCTTAGGAATCTCCTGAAAGAGTGGGACCTGTATTTACTGTATTATACTTACTTTGATGAAAATGCAATTAATTGATTCATTCACTCACTTACTATTTCATTGATGTAACTATGCACACTATAAATACTACTGATGAGGGGGATGCCACAACACCATTCTTGAGATTGTTAAGCTGCTCACTGGGTTATTAGCCCATAACACACACCCACCACCAGTTGTAGTCTAGAAACTGCGCAACAATCTCCTTCCTAAGAAATGTGCTTTACATTGTCTCGTGGCCTAGAGAAAGGCAAACATAGAGAGTTGTTTGGGTTGAAGGTAGGGAGCTTATCACAAGTGAGTGAGGCCTCTTTCCCCAGAAGGGACTAAATAAAAGACCTTATGGGCCATAGAACTATAGCATATTAGAATTGGAAAGGACCTTAAATGTCATCATTTTACAGATAAGGAAAGTGAGAACTGGAAAGGTAAAGGAACTTAATCTAAGGTCACATAAAATGTTCCGGAAACAGGTGAGACTAGAATCCAGATCTCCGGTTCAATGCCTGATTCAACTAAATAATGTCACCTGTATTCTCTGATATCTGCTCAACTTTTTGGTAGCATAGATTCTATTCACCTCTGATGAGGCAATTTACTAGGAAAAGGTGGTTTCTTTATCTTTAGGGAAAACTTTTTACTTATTCTGGTGAGGTTCTGAATTTTAAAATTTTTGATTGGAGTTCAATTTTGAACAGATTTTAATTTGTTCTCATTAAGTGATTATTGACTATGAAAGGACATAATTTCTATCACCTGACTTCCCAAAAAACCCTTTTGTATATTCAAGGCCAAACCATCCCTTCCATTATTGTACAGAAAGTTTAATTTTGTAAACTATGTTGTAAACAACCTTGAAAGTACCATCTTATTTCTTGTAGAGCCACATAAGTGAGAATCCTGATGAAGTTGAAGCTGTAAAAACGCAATTTCCTAATTATAAGAATTACACAGATGTATATGACAAAAACAGTCTCCTGACAGACAAGGTAATGTAAAAGACTGGCTTCTGTGACATTTATTAGACAGTATATGTGACTAAATGTGTTGAAAATTTTAATCATTGTGGTCCTCACAGTTTTAATATTTATGTTCTTCAGACTAGGAAATTAAGACATTTTGATTTGAAATTTTCTCAGGTCAGATTCCCTCATTATGAGGATGTAATTCTTAACAAAAAAAATTGTGCTTAGATGCAACCATGCAAAATAGGAAGAATACTGGATTTAGAAAACCTGAGTCCTGGCCCTAACACTTTCTAGCTGCATAATTGAGGAAAAGTTATTTAAATTCTCTAACACTATATTTTCCCATCTGTAAAACAGAGATAATAATATAACTACCTACCTTGCAGGCTTGCTATGAGGGAAGCTTATTTTAAACCTTACCACCCTACGTAAATGTGAGGCTCTATGATGCCATTTTTAGACCCAGGGTTTTATTAAAAATAAGGACATGTTTTCTGTAGTGTTCTGAAATTAAATATCTGTTGTTGGATGGCATAGGTATATAGTCAATTCTCAAAAATCCAAATGAGGATTATCTGCAAATGTTAAGTTCTAGTCTGATATACCATGGATAAACAGTATACTTCTGAATTTGTACTGCACTAACTATTGGTATGTTCTAATAGAATTTAAACCACTTTGAATATTAGATTAAATTACTGTTGTTTAAAAAAAGGTATGTTACTTCAATCCAAAGCAAAATTTGCCTTATATGATGTTTTAGATTGCTTCTGTCATGGCCATTAATGTAGCTAATGGAAAAATGACTATAATAATAAGATTTTAAATAGAAGTTATTTAATATTCTTTGGGCTGTATAACCTTTGTTTCCCAGAATACAGTATGGAAGTAGTAATGTGACTTGTCAGTACATGTGTGCACATGTTAAATGAATATCCATACATATTCTGCTTATGCTATTCATACTCTGTTCAAAGCCACGTAAAGGAGAAAAATCAAGCCAACAAACATTCATTAAGCACCTACTACATACCAGGCACTGTGCTCAGTGCTGAGGATACAAAGAAGGGCAAAAACAGACCTCACCCTCCAGGAGCTCTCAGTCTAATTAAAGCTACAACATGAAAATAACTGTATATGAACAAGATCGATGTAAGATACATTGGTGATAATCTCAGAAGGAAGGAACCAACATTAAGGGGGATTGGGAAAGGCTTCTTGTAGAATGAGATGTTAGCTGGGACTTGAAAAAAGCGAGGAGGTTGAGGGGAAGAAGGAGAGAATTCCAGACATGAGAAACAGTCAGTGAAAATGTCTAGAGCCAGAGATGGAATGTCTTGCAGCAAGGAGGCCAGAGGCCCTAGATTGTAAGAAGAGCTTTAAAAGCCAAATAGAGGATTTTATATTTGATCCTGGAACTACTGAAACGAATTGAATAGTAAACGCTTCTGCTCCAACGACTAGCCTCCTTGGCCCCAACCCTGCTTAATTCTAGTGCTTTCTGTTAATTATTTCCAATTTATATAGGATTATATATTGTTGTTTATAGCTGTGTATAGCTTGTTTTGTATATATTTATTTCCATGTTGTAGGCTCCCCCAATAGATTGTAAGCTCTTTGAAGGCAGGGACTATCTTTTGCCTCTTTTTGTATCCCCAGCATTTGTTAGCACAGTGCTTAACATGTATTATAGGTGCTAAATACATGTCTATTGATTAATGGATTGAAATAAACCTTTTGAGTACCACACCTATTTTTTTTACCACCTCAGCATCAGACCCATTTAGAGAGTCAGGTTAAATGTGTTTTAAACCACAAAGAAAAAGGGCCAAGGTAGTTTAACCCACAGAGCAAATCATTACTTTCTCAGCCAATAAAAACAAAAACTCAATGGCAATTTCAAATTTATGGGAACGTGAACATTGAAAGAAGAAAAGACTAATTTTTTGCATAAGTAACGTAAAGATTGCAAATGGATTTAAACTCCACTGTGGTTTCTTCTCATGCAAATTGTGGAAACTTGATTGCAGCAGTAGTTTTGTGCTCACTACACCATGACAGCTCCAAGTAGAAAACTACTTTGATGTGGATTTTGTTCTGTATAAGAGTTGTTGAAGAGAAAGGGCTTGTTCTGGAAAACGATACAGATTTTGCAAGAATCTGGAGAGATAAGCAGGGGTTTCAAATGCTAGACAGGGCCTACTTTATACAGCAAGGTTTCTTTTAAGTAAAATACAAAGGCAGAGATTATCAGAGATTCTATCCCGTGCTGCTTTTTTTTCTTCAAAGAAATTTAATTATTTTCAGCTAACAGCATGAAGTGGCATCATGTCACAAAACCTTTGGAGCCTCAATTAAGCAAAATGAAGAAATCAAATCAAATTATGACTCTACAATGGCCTAAAAGATAGTTCTGCTGAATAGTGACCTTTTTCTTTTAAAGAAAGTTCCATTTAAGATAAGAAACCCACAATTCTTATAGGAATTCATTTGGTGATTTGGGGTGAATAATTGAACCTGACTATGTAGCAGTAGAGGCAATTGGATCATAAAATTCAGAGCTCAAAGGAAGCTAAGAAATTCTGTGGTCCTGCCCCATCATCTCACAGATGAGGAGGCCTTCAGTTGCTTGTCATAATTTGCAGTTACTGTGAGGCAAGACTTAGCCAAAAAAAAAAAAATTACTTAAAAAATTCCTTGTTAATAATGTGCAAGTAATTTAAACATACTCTTACCAGTATGATAACAATAAAAATAGGAACTCCATACCGTGTCTCTGGGCTGAATTGTCAGATATTAACATCACAGCAACTAAGTGGTAAAGCTTACATGATCTGTTTTCTTGTCTAGACTGTGATGGCTCATGGCTGCTACCTCTCTGATGAAGAGCTCCAAGTATTTCAACAGCGAGGAGCTTCAATCTCCCATTGTCCCAATTCAAACTTCTCGTAAGTAGATAAGAGAGTGTTTTTGAGGAATTCTCAGTACAAAGGGGAGGTGCTTAACGTCCTGTTCTTTTATATATGAATGAGTGAATGAATGGATTAGTGAATGGAAGAAAAGGACATTTACTAAGCACTGACTATGTGTAATGCACATTGTTAGGTGCTGGAGATACAAATTTAAAAATGAGACATTTCCTGCCTTCATGGAGCCTATATTCTAATAGAAGAGAGACAAAACTGTAGAGGAGTTGTCTCAGAGGGAGGTTTGACCTGTTTACAGGGATGGTGTTTGTAGCCCTAGATCAGTTCCTACTCTTTCCAGTAGTAATGGTAGTAACAGATTTCTGATTGCACATGTATGTAGAACCTATATCAGATTGCTTACCATCTCAGGAAGAGAGGAAGGGTGGGATAGAATTTGGAACTCAAAGCAAAAAAAAAATCGAATATTAAAAATTGTTTTTACATATAATTGGGGGGAAATTAAAATATATATTTAAAAAAACAATGGTAGTAACAGTTTTGATAAATATTACTTATTTTAATGTAAGGTTATATAGACAGAAAATGTTGTTGTGGGTAATGGTGTGGATGACATTGTATGTGATGCAGTTGGACTGATTTGCACCAGACTTTAGACTCTATTGTGGTTCTCCCGAGTCAACTAATCTAAGTCAACTCAGTGTCTTTCGGAACCCTACAACTCCCATGCATCTGGAACTTCTCCAGGTTTTCTCTCTGTCCTATCCTAGATAATCTATTAAAGATTACGAGGGTTATTTCTTAGTTATATCTTACTTTGTCCTCTTAGAACCTATTAATATCCCACTTAAAATGGGGGTAATAAGTTCCAGAATTCAGCCTATGAGTTGTTTTATCTGGTCCTTCACCCTTGTAACTTGCTACTACAGATTTTCCTTATGGCAATAATTAGAAATCTCAATCCCTGGCTCATCACTACTCTGCTGCTCAGATGCGCTGGCTCCCTATTTCTCCTGACTTGGCAAATAACATTTCATTCCAAGTCTGCAATACTTTATAACAAGTGTCTTAGACCAGGCACAGACTAGCTCCAAATGAAAGTTCCATTGCTAGAGAGAATGAATCAATAAGGCAAAAAAGTTCTTAAATCCTCTTAGTAAATAACAAACATTTCACAAGGATATACAGGTGCAACTCCCCAGGTTCTTATTCATGGGAATGTATCCAGGTCAGTAACTTTACTGAGAGGCAAGATCAAAAAATTACTTTAGAGAAATGCCTCATTAATATATACAAGGAATTGATAATAATAGCATGTATATAGCTACGGTTTGTAATATAGAGTATCTCACTTGATCTTCACAATTCATTTTATAGATGAGGAAACTGAGGCTGAGGTTAAGTGACTTGCCCAAAATCACACAGCTAGTGAATATCTGAAGAAGGATTCAAATTCAGGTCTTCATGACTCTAAGTCCAAAACTATTGTGCCACCTAGCTCCCTTTTATTATTTCACGTAACCTTGAAAATATGGTAACAACGACTCCTTCCCAATAGTCCATTAACTCTGAAGAGGCTCCCCTCCCTTCTTGATGCTGATTTATATAAGATTTGCCCCAAAGTGAGCCTTAGTTCATTTAGCTTGTCCCCATTCAGGTCTCCACAACTAAAGGCTATATATTAATTTTGAATCATTTTGAACAGTATATAGTCAAATAAGACCCTCAGGACCCAAGGCCAAGACAGGACAAAATTAAGTTTTTATATTCCTCCATTTATATCTTAGGACAAATGGACTGACCCAAAGAAACAAATCAATATAGGCTAGTTAGCTCTGGGGGCTTGATCTCAAAACTTATTTACTTATTCTTGCATTCAAGTGACTTTCTTCTCTCCTTCACCCAGTCCCCCTCCCTTCTCCTCTTACTATTAAGGTGCTATTTCATTTCCTTCCTGAAGGGTAACTAGCAAAATGGCCCAGCAGCAGAGCAAGACTTTTGTGGTTGATCAGCCTCCTTTCTCCTGGATCCTGGAAAGCTTCCCCATGATTGATTTAACTTGGGCACTTCTTGCTACCTAAACATTATAGCAGTAGCTTTGTCTGGATGATGTTGGGGAAGGGGGAGACAGAGAGAAAGACATACAAAGAGAGAGAGTAGGAGAGATGGAGAGAGAGTAGGAAAGATGGAGAGAGAGAGAGACAGTGGGAGAGAGGAGGGGAGAGAATGAAAAGGAGGGAGAGAGAGAGGAGGGGAAAAGAGGATGAGGGAGGGAGAGAGACTGAGGGGGAGAGATGAGGGGAGAGGAAGGGAAAGAGAGAGGAGAGAGAGACAGGCAGTGGGAGAGAGGAGGGGAGAGGGAGGGAGAGAGACAGTCAGTGGGAGAGAGGAGGGGAGAGAATGAAGAGGAGGGAGAGAGAGAGGAGGGGAAGAGAGGATGAGGGAGGGAGAGAGACTGAGGGGGAGAGATGAGGGGAGAGGAAGGGAGGGAGAGAGAGAAAGGAAGGAAGGAAGAAAGGAAGAGAGAAAGAGAAAAGGAAGGAAGGAGGAACAGATTATATACTCTTTCCTTAGATTTCCTTTCTCTCCTGTCTCTAGGCTCTCCAGTGGATTACTAAATGTGTTGAATGTCCTGAAACATAAGGTGAAGCTTGGACTAGGCACAGGTCAGTAAGTCACTAACTCTGGTTTTCCAAGCACTTTATATGCATCACCTTGTCCGAGCCTTGTAACAACCTTGTGAGGTTGGTACTAATAGACGAGGAAACTGAGGCTGATGGGTGGGGGTTAAAGGACTTGCCCATCATCTTATAGCTCATAGGTGAAAGAGAAAGGATTAGAACGTGGGTCTTCCTGAGTTTAGGTCCAGTATTTGTGTCCATTATACCGCAGTGCCTTTAAATGTTTGACTTCACAGTACTACTTGAAAGAGGATGACATTCAAAGGCTATTATTCAGCTGGCCATGGTAGCACATGCCTAAAATCCTTTCTACCCAGGTAGTCTGAGGCTGGTGGATCAATTGAGCTCAAGATTTCAGAGCAGTCTTAGTCTGGCACCAATATAGTGAACCAGGGTTGAACTGGTCCAGGTCTGAGCGTCCTTGTGCATCAGATGTGGTATTGGGTCTTTCCACTTCCAGCCCAGGCTAGATAGGGAGACCAAGTCTCAAAAACAAACAAACAAACAAATAAATAAAAGGCTGCTATTCCTTTAGTGTTAGAATAATTTAAAACATCCTGGAATTGTTCTTTTCTTTTGCTTCCATTTTATCTTGTCCTTTTAAGTTTGAACAGTTTTTATTTATGTTATTTCTCAGTAGATGTCTAAGCACAAATGCTAACTCTAGAAAAATTAAAGTTGTTTTATTTGACCCTATCAGAATGAACAAACAAAGCATTTAGACAACTGACAGATTCAGCAAAACAAGATTCTCTTCTGTATTCCCTCCACCAGTCTGGATGTTGACAAGACCTTTTAGGTGGCTGATGGATTAACTGATGCCTCCTGGTTTGAACAGTACATTTTAGTTGTTTCTCCTAATTGTGTGTTGAGCTGTTCATTTAGGAAGCATGCGTCATACCCAGATGTCTGGGTGCAAAGTGCATCGGCACCTCTTTGTCTTACTCTGTATGGCTTTAAACTGAAAATTCTACAATTGAAAGTGACTCAAAAAAAAAAATAAAAAGGAAGGAAAAAAGCTTGGAGGATTTTTAGAATGCTGTTGTGTTCCATTCCAGCCACCTACAATGAGAATGAGTAGGAGGGCAAGCATTTGTTTTTCACATGCATAAAACCATTAGGATCTGTTCTGCTGATATTTATCCAAGTTTTTTCTGTCTAACCCAAATCTCTACAGAAATCTCTTAGACTTAATAGTATTACTGTTATTTTGTTGACATTTCAATAGTACTGATACTTTGACGGACTTGTCATCTCATTGATGTGAGTAGAGTCTTTCCATGGCCTCAAACTGCAGCCCTTTGATATCTTCTTATTCTTTGTGATTCCTGTCTGTATCTTCCTGTAAATCCTCTATAGATTATCTACCAATATACTGGAGAACTTCTCCTTCTTTTAATTTTTCATGCATGGCAGCATAGCATTTGGGTTATCCATTTGAAGTCAGAAGACTTGGGTTCAGATCCTGACTTCTCTGCTTAATATGTTTAGCTTGCTACTTCACCTCTAAAATGAGGAGTGTAGACTAGATGGCCTCCCAAAACCTATCATTCTTAATATTTATCTCTAACTCTATCTACATTTTTTTTTATATTTAGTATTTTATTTTTCCCCAGTTACATGTAAAAACAATTTTTAACATTTCGTATTCTGTCCCTTCCTCTCCTCCACCACCTCATCATTGAGAAGGCCAGCAATTCGATGTAGGTTATACATGTGTAGTCATGCAAAACATAGCCATAATAGTCATGTTGTGAAAGAAAACATAGGCAAAAAAACTCAAGAAAAATAAAGTTAAAAAAATATGCATCAATCTGTATTCAGACATGATCAGTTCTTTCTATGGGGTTGGACAGCATTTTTCATCATAAGTCCTTCAGAGTTGTCTTGGATCATTGTATTGCTGAGAATAGCTAAGTCATTCACAGCTGATCATCTTACAATATTGCTGTTACTTTGTATACAATACATTTCACTTTGCATCAGCTCATGCAAGTCTTTCCAGGTTTTTCTGAGAGCATCCTGCTCATCATTTCTTATATACAATAATATTCCATCATAATCACATGCCAGAACTTGTTCAGCCATTCCTCAGTTGATGGACATCCCCTCGATTTCTAATTCTTTGTCCCCAGAAAAGAGCTGCTATAAATATTTTTGTGCATCTAGGTCCTTTTCCTTTTTTATTTTTTATCTCTTTTGGGATACAAACAGTATAAAGTGGTATTGCTAGCCCAAAGGGTATGCATGGTTTTATACTTTTGGGCGTAGTTCGAAATTGTTCCACAGTGCCCTCTATCTATATGTAATGGCATTTCTGTAGCAGTTTTAGGTTTGCAAAGTGCTGTTACATGTTATCTCATTTGATCTTTACAGTAGCCCTGTGATGTAGATGCTATTATTATCTCTGTTTTACTGAAGAGGAAACTGAGGCAGAGGTTAAGTGACTTGCTCAGGGTCACACAGCTAGTAAGTGTCTGAGGCAAGATTTGAAATCAGGTCTTCCTTACTCCAAGTCCAGGGCTGTTACCCACCGTACCACCCAGGTACCCAAAAACAACAAAAACCCAAGTGGATTTTTGTTTTAAAATTTTTTTGCCCTTCCTGTCTGTAGTGTCCAGATTAAGTGAAAAATTACCAAACAATTCACTTCACTTTATTTAGATGGCAAATGTAGCTTTAGAGCTTTATGGTTGATAGGCTGATACTTTAACATAAAGTTGGTTTATGTGACACCTTCACCAAAGTCAAAGTCTTGAGTGGTTAATGTGATTTAACCTAAGGCAAAAGTAAAACAAGTCCAGGGAGAGGCAGAGAAAGAAACAAATATCTACAAGATTAGGAGAATATGTTTTTTAAAAAGAGAAACAAGAAAGCTTGCAAAATCCTGCTGTGAGAAAGTTAAGAAGACCAATTTGTGATGGAATGATTGGTTATGTAAGAATTTATATAAAATATGTAAGTATTGTAGCCAATATAATATTCTCTTCTACTTTTCCCACTATCTGAGTCACACTAAACCTCTTTGCCCTTATTGTGACCTTCTGGCCCTTCACGGATCCATGTTCTCTGCGTTTCTCTCTTCCACTTGCTTCCATTACCTTATAACTGTTTTACCAGTTGTCCTAGAATCCCTTGGTCCCCTAAACATCTGCCATTCTCGACTGGCAAAGATTTATCCCTGGGTAACTCCCACCATCCAATTTCTCTATTCCTGTTCAGTCGTTACTGATCGTCACTGAACAAGGTCAGGCTGGTTTCGCTCACTTACAAATTGGTCACCAGCCTCAGCCAAACCTGTGCTGTTCTTTGACGGTTCTTCTGCTCTACTCTTATTAACTTCCTGTGCTTTTCCCCACAACAGCTGTCCCAAGCTTTACCTTCTTTTCCCAATTCCATAATCATAGCACTTATCCCTGACATGTACAGCAGATGATTTAACTTTCATTGTGAGCTTCCCGTCTTCCATCCCTCATAATTCAATGCTATCACCTACTTTCTCTGTTTTTTTTTATTTCCACAAAAGAAGGAGAAACAAGTAAATAAAAAATCTTTGAGACCTGTCATTTATTTGTATGTTTGAGAACTCAAAGTTATCTCCATGCCCAAGAAGGCACTGGAGTAGTGCTGGAGGAAAGGCATTCACAATTTTACATTTCTGGCTACAAATGACAAAGTTTCCAATGAATTATAAAGTATACTTCATTCTACATATAGAGATATTCTTCCCACTAGCAGTATTTTAACTTTCCTACCATTTCTTTATTAAATTAACTTAAAATAATATTTTAAATAGTTTTTGTCAAAGATAGTTCAACTCAATTATGTTAAAGTACTTTGTTTTAATAACTTAAATGCTTTGTTAATCAAATTAGAATGCTGATGTACATATGAAATAGTTATCTATTATCAGTGCTAATATACTCATTTCTAAAGAAAATCTCTTGAAAATTAACTTTCTAGAACTTTGATTTTAATTTTTTATAAATTGTACTCAGAATAGGACTTGGAAAAGTTTCTAGATTAAAGAATGGTGGATCTGTTTTAAACTCATTATACCCTCTAAATTATCCATAAAGCTCTAAAGCTACATTTATAAGCTTTCCCTGGGAGTTCTACCAAGGACATATATAAATATGATTTCCTCTCTTTACCTTACCAACCAAATTAGAACATATTTAACACCATTATTTTCAAAGTGAATGTTATAGTGTATGTTATTTGTGGCCGTTATTTGTACATAGGATTTTTGCATTAACTTACCAGAGATTGATATACTACTCAGGAATGTCTGCAATGAAAACTACTTCCATTTATATAGTGTTTTTAAGGTTTACAGGGTGTTTCCTTTTACAATAATACTTTGAGAGAAGCAGTATAAGTATTAACTCCATTTTACTGATCAGAAACCTGAGACTAAGTCAGTCAGTAACTAACATTTAAGTACCTACTATGTGCTGGACACTATACTAAGTAGATACTAAGTGTTTAGGATACAAAGAAAGGCAGAAGACAGTCTCTGCTCTCAGGGAGCTTACCATCTAAGCAGGAAGACAACCTACAAATAACTTTGTACAGAGAGGATATAGACAGTGTAAACTGGAGATAATACCAGAGGGAAGGCACTAAGATTAAGGAGAACTGGGAAATGCTTCTTGTAGAAGGTAGAATTCTAGCTGAGACTTGAATGAAGCTAGAGACGGAAGAAATGTGACATAGGTGTATGGGGGACAGCCAGTCAAAAGGCTTGGAATCCAGACATGGAGTGTTGTGTGTGAGGAACAAGGAAACCAGTGTTACTGGATTGCAGAGTACATGAGATTTGTAAAGTATAAGACTGGAAATGTAAGGAAGGGGCCAGGTTATGGAGGGCTTTAAAAGACAGAGGATTTTATATTTGATACTGGAGGTAATAGGGAACTACTGGAGCTTATTGAATGGGTGTGGGAGGATGACACATTTGGACTTGACAGCTGAGTGAAGGATGGACTGTAGTGAGGCTATTGCAGTAATCAGGGGTGAGGTGATTAGGACCTGCGCCAAGATGGTGGCAATGTCAGAGGAGAGAAAGGGGCATGTATAAGCAATGGTATGAAGGTAAAATCAATAAGCCATGGCAACTGATTGGATATGAGGGTGAGAAAGAATGAGGAGTCAAGGATGACACATAGGTGACAAGCCTGGATAACAGAAAGGATGATGGGAAGTTAGTAAGAGGGAAGGGAGAGAGGGAGATAAGGAGTTCAGTTTTGACATGTTGAGTTTAAAGCGTCTGTAGGAAATCTAGTTGGATATGTCTATCAGCAATTGGAAGTGTAGGACTAGAGGTTAGGAGAGTGGTTAGGCAATTATAGGCAGCCTTCTCAAGGTATTTAGCCACAAAAGGCAGAAGAGAGAGGTGTCAGTGGGGGACCAAGAACAGGGTTTGAAAAATGGCAGCCGGGGGCTCAAAATCACTGAGATGGGTTTAGAATGGTGTGGTGGAGTTATATTAATCATTAAGGAATGAGTTCAGATAGATGTTCAGTCTGGGGGTGGAGTTGTCCCAGGGCATCAGGCAGCAGTGTGTATCGGGAAAAGGGGCGGTGGTGATGGTACCCAGGCAACGCAACTGCCCTGGAGCCTAAATGGCTAGAGGAAGTGTCTGGAATGCAGTCCAAATGCTGCCCTGGGAGTCCAGGAAGCCAGCTGGCTGAACAGGTGCAGATAAGCCAGCTATGATGGTGTTTAGGGAGCCAAAGAGAGTGACTAGCCCATAGCAACACACCTTTCAGAGCCAGGATTCAAAACCAGGACTTCAGATTCCAAGGCCAGTGCACTTTTTATTACATGACACTCCCTTGTTTATTCATAATAAACATCAAAGGGAAGGCACTAACATTAAGGAGAACTGGGAAATGCTTCTTGTAGAAGGTAGAATTCGAGGAAACACCGTGTTTTATTCATAATACTTAATCACCTGTTTATCTGCATGAGTTTACTATTAATGTTTTTTTTAATCTTCTATAGATGTTGCTGGTGGTTATTCATCTTCCATGCTTGATGCTATCAGAAAAACAATCATGGTAGCCAACATCCTTTACATGAAAAAAGCAAATGAGAAAAGCCTCACTCTGAAAGAAGTGTTCAGACTAGCAACTCTTGGAGGAAGCCAAGGTAATGGGCGTTTCGTATCTATCTCATTTCATATCTCTTTATATCCCTATGTGGACCATAATCTCCATGAGAGCAGGCATATAACTTTGTCCAAACTTTTTATTTCCCCTGGCATCTAGCACAGTTCTCTAGGTATATGAGCTAATTAACAAATATTTGTTGACTTGAAAGTCCTTAAATAAAGTGTGGAAAGCAGAAATCTTTAAAATTTTTTAAATTAAAAATTTTTTTTAAATCTCTAAATTCTCTTGATTCGAGAAGAAAAACATAATTTCATGAAGGTCTTGTTATTCTTTGAAACCTCATGTGGCACATCCTAAAAGTAATAAGTGATTATTTTTGGCATAAAAGGTGAATATGTTATCTTTCAGGGAACCCTGTACATATGATTGACAAACAAGCATAAATATAATGCGACATCTTTGCTGTGCTGAGTCTCAGTGGTGAATGGTGGTGAGGAGTCAGTGACTACTTTGGGTCCTATAAGATTGCTAGCTTCCACTCCAAGAATATCTTGGAATGCAGAAAACCATGAGGAACATTTGAAGAAAGAAAGGTCTTGCTTTTCTGGTTTCCCTGCCAATCAATTGTGAATGAAATTGTTGATTTATTATCTAAAATTTTAGAAATTTCAGCAACCCTAATGTCTTAATTGGTTATCACTAATCATGTTTTAAAAAAACCTCAGCTTAGATTGGCTGACTTTTCAAAGATCAATTTATTGTATGTTTGAATTTGCTTTAAATGATGCTTCTTTCACTCTAGGCTCCTTGTGATGCTACTTCATCAGGGACTCTCCCACTTTCTGAGCTGGCCAGCATGGGGTGTATACCAGATCATTTCTTTTGTTTTTATGTGGTTCTCACTTCTAATTCTTAGGGCAGTATGGCCATTGTTGAATGATGTCTTCTTCCTAGGTTGTTGTTATGCTATAATTTGAAGTGAAATGAGGGTAAATGGAAGCTATTGTACTTCTTAAAGGTGGACTCTTCTCATCATTGTTCCAATGCTTAAATTCCCTAGTAGATCTGGATGTGGTTAAAGCATCTATAGCTCCAGCCAAAAAAATCCAGGTTTTCCTCCAGAGAATAGTAGTTTTCAGTAAAACAGGTCTTCTGTAAATGGATTGGAATTATTTACCAGCTTTGGTATACCTCTGCCTCTTGTGACTGGCCTCTTGTAGGTGATTAATGAATGCTTTTTGTTTTATCTGCATCCCAAGTGCTTAAAATTCCTGGTAGATTTGGATATGGTTAAATTATCTATACATATAGCCAAAGAATTGAGATGTTCCTCCAGAGGGCGGTAGTTTGCAGTAAAACAGACCTTCTGTAAATAGATTAGAGTTATTTACCAGCCTTTAGGTACTTCTGCAGACCTTAGAGCACCCACCCCTAGTAGGCATTTAATAAATGCCTTTTGATTCATCTACATTTGGGTCTATTTATAAATCTAGTAAAACCAATCAGATCCTTTTTAAAAAAAAAGAATATCTGGATTCTTTGACCATATGTAGAGATGGTTTAACCACATCCAAATCTACTAGGACTAGGAAGGTATTAATGAAATATCCAAATCGGTATTACCAGAAACATCCTTATTCTTGTTTGCTGGCTTATTGAGTCTACAGCCTTTACAGATTGACTTGACTTACAGTATTATTTTTCTATGTACTGGACAGATACTTCTAGAACCCAAGAGGCAGATGTCACATACCTCAGCAAGGGAAGAATTTCCACAGTTCTCCAATGTTCTTATTTTCAACTCCACACCAACAAAAATACAAAGAAAAACCCAATTTGAAGTCATCTAGCAATGGCCATTTCTAACCATTTTAGCACCAGCCCCCCCCCCCCCTTTTTTGCTGTGGTGTTTCTTTGGCTTACAGACTTTTATTTCTGAGAATGAAAAAGTTACCTTTTCTATAAATCATTAAAAAAAAAAGAAAAGACAAAGTCATTGCCCAGTAATTTTGCCAAAATTATTCTCAGACATAGTAGGCATTTGGAGATCAAAAGTCACCCATTGGGAGTTTGTTATTTCAGAGATAATTGCGCAGTGCCGTGAGGGTATTGGTTTCCTGAAATTACCTTTACAAATGAAATAAAGAAGCTCACTTTTTTAATCCAGACTTCTCCAGTTGTCTTGGTGTGTACATCTCCACCAATTTATAGGTTGGTGTTAAAGAATGGTTCTCGGCAGCATGGCACTGTGGGATGAATACCAGATTTTGGAGTAAAAGGACCTGTGTTCAAATCCTGGCACTCCCAGGGCAAGTCAGTTCCTCTTTCTGCCCCCTAGATTCCTATAAGTGAAACAAGGGATTGGTCTAGATGGCAACTCTAAGTCTCCTTCAGTTCTAAATATGAACCTAGTACTTTCATTGGGCAGGAGAACCACGTTTTGGAAAAACTACATTTTGAGGCTCAAGGTAAAACTCTTAGTAGTAAGGGATATTTGGACATGAAACTCAATACTAATCACCAAAAGGCACTGCAGAAGTCTTTGGTCATTGAGAGAGGCCATTGACCCAATTTATTGGTTACTGATAGCCTAACTGATGAGGAAATTGAGGCTAAGGAAGGGTAACAACAATGGCCTCACAGCTAGCATCCAAGGTAAGATTTGAACACAAGTATTCTGACTCTGGGTTCAGCATTCTTTTTACCATACCACACTGCATCTAGAGATAATGTCACTTCCATGAAAATAGACCTTGGGATCAAAATGATAAGTATGTGACAGAACAGAGGAGAAATCAAAGTTGGGAGCAGGAGGTTGCAAGGAGGATGCAGTTAGCTAGTAAATTTTAGGTAGTTTATGGCAATGGTGTGTGTGTGTGTGTGTGTGTGTGTGTTTAGCAGGAGGCAGTAAACCAGCCTGCAGAATACACTGGCGTAGTTCAAAGGGAAAAATTTCAAAATGTAGAAACACATTTGAGATTTAAAAGGGACCTTAAAGGCTTTCGAGTCCAACTTCCTTATTCTATAGTGGGGAAACTGAGATTAAGTGACTTTCCAGGAATCACAGCCAGTTAGTCCACTTTGAGTGAAAAAAGGGCATAGACATTTCATTCTTAGACTTCACTTTCAATGTACTTAACCTACCTACTGTCCCTGTAACTATCTGAAATGAGTGCACAAAAATTAACTTCTTTTATGCTTGACTTAAAACACTTGGCTGCTTCCCCCCCTGATATAACTGTCAGCAGTCTATATATTTTTTCACAAATTAAACATAAGTTTTGGGACGCTTGAGCATTCTAGGGGTTCCAAAATGCCATAAACTCACTCCTTTGCTCCCCATTACAGCCTTGGGACTAGATGACGTGATTGGAAACTTTGAAGTCGGCAAGGAATTTGATGCCCTCCTGATCAACCCTAAGGCTTCAGACTCTCCCATCGATGTCTTCTGTGGTGATCTGCCTGGTGAGCTTTCAGAGGTAAGCCAAGAGAAAGTCTTTGGAGAGTTAAGTGTAGGACCCTGTGCTTAATTTAAGGATTTACTATTAAAACCTTCTAATCATGCTATTTAAAAACAATCATTCAAAGCATAAGTTGCATGATAAAATCTTTGCATTAGGGAGGGCCTTGAGGGATTACATTGGATTAGTATTTGTTTATCAATATAATAGCAAGATGACTAGATTATAAACTCCTTGAAGACAGGGCCAAGAATAAATTGAACTGATTAGAATAAGTATAACATATTATGAGCTCCTTAAAGAAAAGATCTATGTAAGTTGACGTTGGTATAATTCATTATTTTGTTAACTGTTTAGTCTCACACCAGAATGTACTTCCTAATGCCAAACCCTATTCATCCAATCCATGGTGTTATTATATACAACTTCTGTAATGGGTCAATTATTTTATCATACTTATTTTTTAAACTTTCAGAGCATCTTTTCTCTGAAAATTGTCAAACACTTTAAAAGTAAATACCGTTCTAACAAATGATCCCTAGTTTTTTAAAAAAAAAATGGAAATAAAAGTTCACTGCCAAAAAACAAACTCATGTCTTTTGGCCTTGCTAATTGCTTATGGTCTATGTATTGGTGGAGTGGAAAGCACTGGATTTAAATCAATTTCTGAGTTTAAATCCAAGTTTGAAGGAAGGAAAGGAATGAAATAAGCAGTTATTAGGTACCTACTATGTGCCAAGCGTTTTATAAATATTATCTCAATTAGCATTCTGAACAATGCTGGGAGGTAGATGCTATAATTATCCCCGTTTTACAGTTGAGGAAACTGAGGCATCAGTTAAGTAACTTGCCCACACAGCTAATGTCTGAGGTTGGATTTGAACTCAGGTCTTCCTGATTCTAGGCCAGAGTTTTATGCACCCTACCACCTAGCTGCTGTATACTAACAGTGTGATGTTGAGTAAATCACAACATCTTAGGGTGTCAGTTTCCTTGACTGTAAAGTAAGGAGGCTAAACTAGATGGCTTCCAAGGTCCTTTCAGTGGTAAATCCTATGGTTCCCTATAAATGTCCTTTTCTATAGAAGATATCAAACTCTGCTTTCTAATTATTGTCTTTCATTGTTCATTTTAGGCTGTTATCCAGAAGTTCTTCTATCTAGGTAGGTCCCTGGATTTCTCTCATCCTTGGTATTTATTACCCATTGTTATCTGTTACACCAGATTGCATAAATTTCACTTTAATCTTAGCTCATTCCAATCCCATTATGGAGACTCTTGCCAGGCTTTAACTGTTTTAGTTTTTAAAGAAGATTTAGGGCACACACAATCATCAGATGTACATCCCACCCTAGCTTTGGCCTCTACTACCATAACAACCTCCTCATTGGTTTCTCTGCCTCTAGACTCACTCTTTCCAATCCTTCTTACATATCTCTGTTAGACTTTCATCATAGCATGTCCCTGCTTTGTATCTTTCAGTGACTTCCTATTACCAAATGCATCAAGTTCAAACTTCTCTGCCTTTTGAGACCTCTGTGCCTTGTTTCCTTACTACTCCCCAGTTTTTCCAAACTCTCTGTCTTTTGCCTCCATCAGCCTCAATATGGCCTCAATGCCTTTGCTCATGCTGTTTCTATTACCTGGAATGCTCTCCCTCTGTCTCCATGTTCCTCAAACCTACTCTTATTTCTTTTTTAAATAATATTTTATTTTTCCCCGATTACACATAAAAATGTTTTTAACATTCTTTTTTTTTTAAGTTCTGAGTTTCAAATTCTATCCCTCACTCCCCTCCTTCCTCCCTGAGACGGTATAGCAATCTGATATAGGTTATACATGTACAATCATGTAAAAATTTGCATATTAGTCATTTTGTGAAAGAAAACTCAAACAAAAAAGGAAAGAAAGGAAAAAAGAGAAAGGAAGGAAGGAAGAAAGAAAGAAAAATAAATAGTATGCTTCAGTCTCTATTCAGACAACATCAGTTCTTTCTATGGGAGGAGAAGCAATTTTAGTTTTCATCATGAGTCCTATGCAGTTGTCTTAGATCATTGTATTTCTGAGAATAGCTAAGTCATTCATAGTTGATCATCATACAATTTTGCTGTTACTGTGTATAATGTTCTCTTGATTCTGCTCACTTCATTTTGTTTCAGTTCATATCCAGTCATCGCAGGTTTTTTTGAAACCACCCTGCTCATCATTTCATATAGCACAATAATACTCCATTACATTCATATACCACAGCTTGTTCAGCCATTCCTCAATTGATGGGCATCCCTTCAATTTCCAATTCTTTGCCACCACAAAAAGAGCTGCTATAAATATTTTTCCGCATGTGGGTCCTTTTCCCATTTTTAAAAATCTCTTTGTCTACCCTTCTTTCAGTATCCAGTTCAAGTCTCAACTCTTCCATTACTCCATCCCACCCTGATCTCTCAATTACACTAGTTCATTTCACACTTTTTTCCACCCAGTGGTTATGTATGTCTTAGTCTTGTCACCCCAGCTAGATTATAAGCAGGGTCAGGAGTCTGGGGTGCTGCCAGGCTCAGGAACAGAAGAGGGCGCAAGTCATATTCTGTGTAGTTCATTGGAAATTTCTCTGGGATTCTCTACATAGTTCCAGGGCTATTGGCAACAGCTGAAGATGCTTGCATTTCCGCAGAGGAGCCATATAGTAGGATAGGCACTGTTGTAAACTGGATCAAACTAGCTCATAAGTGAAACAGCACGGTTGAAGCTGACATCGATACAGTAGCTATTGTTGCTTCACCTCACGTTATGGTTGAGAGGGACTGGTCACAATTGTCTATCAGTCCACACTTAATGGCTTTTGCCCTTCCAAAGCCCTGAATGATACTGAAAGCTGTGATCACCTCTAGCCTAGCACTGCCTATGTGAATTGTACCAGCTGAACTTAATTCTGGTTTCCATCCCAAGGGAAGGGTCCTTACCCTTAAATGCTGGTCATGTAACACAGAAGGCCGTGTCATCTGCTTCTTTGTATCTCCCTTAGCATCCAGTTCAGTGCCAGGTTCATACTAGGTATTAATGGATTAATTCTTGTTTTAGGAGATGATCGAAATATTGACGAAGTGTATGTGGGCGGCAAGCAAGTGGTTCCATTTTCAAGCTCCGTGTAGGTCCACGAGGCTTCTGAAGACATTCTCCTGGGATAACTGATGATTCTGCATCTCTCTGTTCAGCCCAGGCGGAGTTGGAAAGTGTTGGTTAAAATATAGTACCTTCTTCTTGGGAATGACTATTAAGTTTCTGTGTCTAATTAGAGCCTCCACTTGAGAAATTACTAGAGGGAAGCCAGGGATCATTTTAGGTTCCTGGGTTGGGTGGCTTTCATATATGTGAAAAATTTACCCTTTGAGCTGTTGAGATTTTTTTTGGCCATATTCAAAGATAAACTTTACTTTATTAATTTGAAACGTCAAATCAATTCCATGGTAAGAAAGACAAAGTTGCTTTTCTTATAAAAATGAATCTTGAGCACACATGTGAAAATTTTCAACTACAAAGTTGAAAATTGCCTAGTGGGGAAATCTTAATGAAGAAAGAAGTCTTTAAAAAGTGTGTGAAAAGAAATGTTGAAGATCACTTAAAGTAATTCATGTTTGAAAATTACATGTCAAGCATACAAATTTTAAGAGAGACGTTGCAGAATTTCAGAATGTGATTTCAGAGTAGGTCTGTGGGCTTGGAAATTTGCACTTACTGAAATTTGCACTTCATAGAAATTTTGCTATTGTTCTTTGGCTTTGTTTTGGATGAAACTTAGGAAACAAAATGTTAAATGCTACATTAAGATAGTTTTTGCTTGTAAATGTGTGTTGAAAGCTGGAAAATGGCTTTTTAAAGGTCTCTTAGGACTATTATTAATGCACTTACATGGCACAAGTAGGAGTATTTTTAAGTACCCTGAAACACCTTAAATTATAACCATGCAGTGTCGTTATCTATCAAAATTATACTGTTGGAAAGAAAATGGAAACAGATTGTTTGAAGTAGTGTTATCCGCAAGACTACAGATTGGAAATTGCAGAGACAGAGAAGACCAGTGGGCATCACCAAATCTATATCATTTCATACAAATATGAAAACTGTTATTGATCAAAGCCTTACCTGGGAAAGGTTCCATTTATTAAAGACAAGCTCTATCCACACTATCAGTCACAATTGCTGATTTTCAAATGCTGATACCAAGTAATAGCTGGCATTTTGAAATACACCTCAAGTGTTCTTTTAATGGGTATCATTAAAAAAGACCCTCTCTCTCCCTTAAAAGCAGACAATCCTTTGTCTATTGAAAATACTTTACTCCCATTTATTTTAATAAATTTTCAATCCAACACTATTTAGGTATGAATAAATAACTTAGATACTATCTTAAAATTCATCTTAATTGGATTTATTCCATATTGAGGGCTGGTTTTTTGTTTTTGTGTTTTTGCCTTTCTTTGTATCCCCAATGCTTAACAGTGCCTGGCACATGGAGAACGCTTAATAAATGCTTGTTGACTGGTTGACTAATTAATGTTTCATATTTAGAAGGATACAAAAGCTTTAAGAGCACCTTTGCCATATCCTAGAATTGGAAACAATTTTTGCCTCTGTAATAAATCTTTGAATATTATTGTTTATGGACTATAACTCATTGCTAATTTTATAAAAATTATGGCTTTTTTCATACCTGTGCATTTTGGCCCTAGAAAACCCTATAGCCAGGAAGAAACCAAAATCTCAGTATTCCAAGTAAGCAAGTACCCATTTGGGGTACATAGGCTAATTTTGTTTTGTTTTATAACCCCTAACATTGAAGAACTTTATATACATATCTGTAACTAAAGATAGGATCTCATCAATAAAATGTCTGCTATTTTGGAAAATTCATTGAAATATATTCATCTTATTTTACTCAGCCATCATATTTTGGCTGATTTCAGATTTCCATCTTCCATAAGACTTCCATAAGTCTTCCATAAGTCCATCTTTTCCTGAGCAGAGACCTTCCTAGAATGAACTGTTTCTTCATCCCACATTAAAGATAAAACTTTTTTTGGTCACTAGGTAAGCATTTGGAGATATTGAGTAACTCAATAAGTCTGTTTTTTCCAAAATTTCAAAGATGCCAGGTGGAGTTTGTCCCTACTTCTAAGAGGTATTTTGGACTCTAGTTCACACCTCCTTGCTAAAGTTAGGATAGGCTAATGAGTGCTTATGGGAGATGAACAATCAGTCCCAAGCCACAGTAGCATATTCCTAGCCACTGTTGGTGTTCTTGTTCACCTCACTTTTTTCTGTCTGAATAGTAAATGAATTTAAATGTGGATCATTGACTTTTCATTGATATTTAGAATTAGCATGCAATCAAAATGACAATATAGCAAAGAAAAAAGGGAGAGAGACGGTGGGTGAGCATGTTAAATGTTAAATTTCTCCCAGATGGTATGTTAAGACCAGCATAGTCTAGTGGAAGGAACAATGGATTTGGAGTCAGGAGCCCTGAATTTGAATCTCAGTTTTGCCATTACTGTGTGGCTCTGGGCAAGTCATGCCCCTTCTCCGAGCCTCAGTTTCTTCATTTGTAATATGAGAGTATTGGACAAGATGATCTCTGAGGTTGCTTCCACCACTATCATGCTATGGAGTTGGTTTTTTTTTTTTTTTTAAGCAACCTGCTTGAAACGTTAATGTCCTTTGACCTCCCTGCACTCCCAGAACCTGTTACTCTTTGTGTTTTATTTCTCCAAGAAAAGTGTTATTGTACATTGCATCTGCTTGTGTGGCAAGTGAAGTTCTACACTTAGAAACATTCTTTTCCTAATGTTGGTTAACTATTTAATAATAAAAGCTTTCATGAATCGTGGAACAGCAGCACGCTGAGCCAATCCGAGGCGTCACTTGATGTTGAATGTTTCCTCTCTGACAGACGCAGGAGTTACGACAGTGATCTTAAGCGAGTCTTTTTGAAAAATGCATACTTGTTGTCACCCCCCTACCCAGATTACACACCAGCATATTACTGGAGAGTCCCTGACTCTCTCTTTAATCAGATATACATTTTTCTGGAATGATGTTGCTCTTCTAGCACCGCAAAAATGCTGTTGCAACCAGAGTATGAAAACATTAAATAAATAGCCGAGGCTTGTTTCGTCGTCCCGAATAATAAAGGAAAGAAACAACGTCCGTAATAAAGAATTGAGAGGCTGTATGGGGCAGTGGAAAGACCCCTGGCCAGGGGGTCAAAGGAGCTCGAAACTAGAGCCGGAAGGGACCTCAGAAACCATCTAGTCCAACCTCTGTCATGCTATACGAGAGCTGTAGAGGTTAAGTGACTTGCCTAAGGTCACATGGAAAATAAGTGTCCAAGGCAGCATTTGAATCTCTGACTAAAGGTCCAGAGCTTTTCCCGCCCCCCGCCCCCCACCCCCGGCTACATATTCTGTACAAGCTGTCACATTTCTAGCACTGGCTCTGCCCCTCACTAGCGAGGTGGCCTAGAGCAAGTCACATCACCTTTAAGGAGCCTCAGTTTACTTGTTTATAAAATGAAGAGATTAGGTGATGTGTTAGGACCTCTCTAGCTCTGTGATTCTAACTCTTGACGGTCTTCCCACATCCCTTTCTACCTTATCCCCTGCCTCTCAAACCTAAGATTAAATTCAGGAGGGCAGAAGATGTTTCTTTTGAAAGTATAAGGACTTTTATTTTTTAAATAAAATAAAGCTAAGGACATTTATTTTTTTAAATTGAGATGGAAACAGATTACAAGGCTTATGAATGTGAGCTTGATGTATAAGATAGAAAAACTATCAGTCTTGTTCACCCACGAATTGCTTGTGTTTTGCTTATTACTGCTTTGGGGAAGGAAAAGAAAAAGGTTAAAAGACATTTAAATGTAAAACAGAAAGTTTCCATGAAAAAGCACAGATTTTTTAAAAGCTTCTCAACTTAAGAAGAATATGATTTATGGCAGACAAATTGGAAAGAGTACAGATGTTATTTTTTTTATAGCCCATAGTGTAGACTGAGCAGAGAAGCAGATGGGGTGATGATAAAATGTTATGAGTTATTAAATTGTTTTTATGATTTTATTATATTTGGTCTCCAGCCCTTTTTCTCTAGGTTTAAATGTAACAGATTTTGGAATAGAGAATACAGGAGCACACAGAGGAGTAGAATCTCCTGTTATCTCTTTCAGAAAAAGGAAGAATCCTTTGGATGTACAACCCAACAGTCTCTCTTATATAAATAGAAATTCCACAGTCAGAACAAATAGTGGTGGGAGAGAAATACTACCTCATAATCCTCAGTGGTTTTTTTGAAACCATCAGTCAGCCAACATTGATGAATGTCTTTGGAGGTTGTGAGGAAAGGACAAGATTAGGGATATGTGATCCCACAGCATGTTTTAAATGTTCACTCCCTCCTGGTTCTTCCTTTTACTTTCCTCTCCAAAAGTCCTCTCCAAGATTTTTGTCCCAAAAGGCAGGATGGCACATTGTATTAATTGCATATTGTGCTGTCTCAGTCAGATGGATCCTAACAGGAAGCCTTTCAGGAGGGCTCAATTTTAAAGCCAATGATAATTACCCAAGCTCTGGGATTTTCCAAGATTGAGATTATTTTCACTTATAAAGATCATAAGATCATAAAGTTAGAGGTAGAAAAGACATTTATTTTTTCTTTTTCTTTTCTTTCTTTTGGGGGGGGGGGAGGCGATCAGGGTTAAGTGACTTGACCAGAGTTACACAGCTACTAAGTGTTAAGTGTCTGAGCCTGGATTTGAGGTTCTCCAGACTCCAGGGCCAGTGCTCTGTACCACCTCGCTGCCCAAAAGGACCTTTCAAGGCCATCAAGTCCAACTGTCTTCATTTAATAGATAAGGAAACCGAGTCACTGGTGTGACTTGCCCAAGGTCACACAAGTAATAAATCACAGAAGCAAGAATCAGACCCAAGAGCTCTGCCCTCAAAGGCAGTGTTCCTTCCATCACACCACCTTGTCTCCTTGGTAACTACAGAATCTTCCAAGACCAGTGACTTCACATTAGTTTTAAGCTGAGCAGAGTTAATTGGTATATAATTGGTGTCTTGTTCAAAGACTAAGAGCAGATTAAAAAGACTCTGTGATCTAAATCAAATGTGATTTCAGTCAGTGGTGAATTTAAATGGTTTGGCCCCTGAATTTCATGTCTTCAGGGGAAAAGCATTATGTAAAAACATTAAATAATTTTTTTCAAATCCTAACATTTATTATGATAAAGAGCTTTCAGGTGTAATCCTACTTCTGTTCTACTTATTCTTCTCCCCCCACCTTTTTTCCCCTTTGTATCTTAAATGTTAAAGCTAGGTAAGAGATCCTGAGGGTGAAACCTGTTTAACCTGTTTTCATGAAGTCAAAAATTGACCTTTAAAATCAATGATGAAAAGGAAATAGGTATTTTAAGATGTCCTCCCCATTCCCACTGTGCCCATGAACACCCAGGTAACTAAGGTGCTTCTTGATACCGGGGTCAGTGGCAGTATCTGTCTGTCACTTTCCTGCTTGAAGACCTGGTTTTATGGATTCTGTCAGAAACTGCTTTTTAAGGAAAACTGCTTAAAAATGTTGCTTATCTCTTGATCGCTACTCTTAAGTATTATGTATTCGGTGGGAAAATGGAACTCAATATTTGTGTTGATTTGCTTATTTCTCTTGTGAGTGTGAGCTTCTCTGTGTTGCAAAAACAAAAATAAAAGTAGTCTTGTGTTTACCTTAATCATTGGAGTTAATTTTTGATAGGGGGAGAGGGCACATCTTGGAATGCTATTCTCCTCACTAGAGTAAGAGAGACCAGAATACAATATATATGCTTATAGGAGGTGGACAAGGTGTATTCTGTGTCATTAATAGTCCAAAGACCTGAGTTCAAATTCCTAGCCTTGTTGCTTCCAATGTCACCTAACCTCTCTGAGCTTAAATTCCTCATCTGTGAAATGAGAGAGTTGGGACTACATGACTCCAAAGATCCTTTCTAACCCTAAAGCCATGAACTTATGATCATAAGATTCCCCACTCTGAAGAGTTACTTCATAATGTGATAGCAGGAGTTCTTTAACCTTTTTTGTAGCATAGACCTTTTTGCCAGTCTGATGAAATCTGTGGACCTCCTTATAGAACAATGATTTACACTTAACTTTCATAATTGGAGAAAATGATTAATTTCGGTTAGAGGTTAGTGAAAATAGAGAAGTTAATTTTTTCCCATCCAAGTTCATAGAACCCCTTGATATCTATCCATGGGCTCCTTGGGGATCTGTGGATCCTAAGGTAAGAATCCCTGTATTGTAGTATTGGTTGTAATAGAATCAGATTAAAAGATGAGCTTTATTCTCTCATGATGTTAAAATAACCAATTAAAATGAGCTGTACGACTAGCTTTTGCTTATTTGGAACTTTGAAAAAGAAGTCAAGAGTACCTTATGCCATTCTAATGAAAGAATACAAAAATTAAGGTAAAAAAAAACACTCAAATGTGTATTTCCCATTTTTTTCTGTCTAAATGATATAAAAAGAACCATGTGTTTGTTCAAAATAGACCTATATTTGGAAGGGATCTTATTATGGGTAATGTAATCCAGACTCTTTATT